CTACCCAGCAAAATTTGCTCCTGCTGACAAGCCCAGTTGTGTCGATTCAAAGATGGAAGGATATAAACACATAAATAGCCCTGATGTCTCCCACTGTGTAAAGATAATGACGTTATACCTCTTCCTAATGCATAAAGATTGTGAAAGCACAAGTGGTGCAGTGTCTTGACTGCATCCATTTTAAATGGTTTGCGTTGCCTTAATCATTTCTACCTCTCACTTCTGCATGGGATGCCAGGACTTCCTGATGCCAGTGCTGATCAGAGCACAGCAAAATTCCATGTCACTAGCTGCAACCAAACTTAGAATTGGCCCTGGAGGTGTCTGCCTGAGTAGCTGCGGTTTGCTCTTCTGAGCATGGCATGGCTTAACTGCAGACAGTTTTTAGCCCTTTGGGAAGAAGAAAAGAATGATTCATCTGAGTGTAGTATGATGGGTGTTATCAATTAAATAAAAAGAGATCAGCCAGAGCTCTCAGATTTTCTGATAAATTGTTTTACAATAAAGTTTAGGAAACGATGCTGTGCCTCTTTGTGTTGTAGTAAGTACTGGGAGTTGGCTGACTGACTACATAAACAGCAAGCTGATAGAAACTGAAAGCATATCCCAATATATTGTCACCATCCATCTATAGCAAGGGATTCTCGGCTGCCTTTATGCTTCTCCTCTTGTTTAATTGAAATACCACAGTAGCCAGGATCTTCTTCCCACAAAAAACATCTTGTGGAAAATGGGCCTGACCGAGGCTTTTAGGATGTTATAATAGTCCTAGAAACAATTAGTAGCAAAAGATTCCTCAGAACATTCAAAAATTTTGTTTTTTCCACTTATGACAATGCATGCACTTCTGTTTGCTGGTATCAACAACAAAGCTCAAGGCAATGCTCTTCACAGGGTGGACAAACACAGGTGATGGTCAAGGCAGTTAAAGGTCACAGATGCACAAAATTAGCTTGAAAGCCCAAGCAGAGCATTGTAAAGTCCGTGTGAGCAGGGCCAGCAAACAAAACAGGTGTGACTGTGACTGGAATTCAGATGAGCTGAAGGAGTGCTAGACATGGCTGGCATTGGTTGCAGCTCTCAGAGAGCAAAGGTCAAAAAAGTAGAAGGAACAGATCCTTTTAAAATTAAGAAAAGAGATCTGCTACTCTTCCTTCAAATTCTCACCTTTAATCATGTCAATCCATAACATATGCAGCAGTTGGAAAATGGTATTTATCTTGCAGCAGTACCTCCATTCAGCATTAATATTTGTATGGCCAGGTAAAAAGCATTATGGAGAGTTACAGAGAGCTAAATGTATGTGTTTTTTTGGGGTGAGGTTTCAGCTAGATTGGATCCTAAGCTGACTCTCTCGGTGGCTTTGCTAACGCTGCTGAAAAAGCAGGGCCCAGAAAAACGCAGGAGGGGGAAGTATGGGGGAATTCAGAAAGTAGTGGCTGATCTGCCCTTTTCCACAGCAACACACGGATAAGTAAAAGTGACATTAACTTGTGAGATCAGGATACTTCAGTTTAGTTTGTTTCAGCCACAGATTTATTGCATGACCTCAAATGACTTAATTTCCTCACTGATAAATTCCCAATTTAAAATTGAGGGACGCATTTCTGCTGTAATAATATAGTTGTGCTTATTTCATTTGTCAGGTAAGGGTCATATAAAATACAAAGATATAAACTAAAATACACAGAATAAGTTTTGCCCATTTTCTTTAATTTTTAAAAACAAAAATGTATGAAATCTTGTGCCCTTGAAAACCAAACAGATTCTTTCTATGTTCAAAATGTTACATAAACCTTGGAGGTTACTGATTTTTATTGTATTATTTTAAATAATACTGTGGATACTTCAGAAAAGGGCAATACTGCTTCTAACACATAAAAAAATCATCACAGTATAGTTGTTTTCTGCATTTTCCACCTTCATATTGTTTCAAAAACAAATATAATAATAATCACAGTACTACTAGGAAATCTGCCCTCCCACAGCCACCCTCCCAAAAAAAGAAATATATTTAAAAAAATATCAGTAAAGTGTTAAACAAGTCAGATATTAAATGCACACATTTACAAGCACAGCATATTAGCAATATCGTATAATGCTTTAGACCATGTCAAACCACATGTATGTGTATAAAGCTAGCAGTGAAATGGTTCATAGCAGCAGAACAGGAAGCATATTCCATACAAAGTATACATAGTTCCTGTGGAGATATTTGGATGAATACTACAGTTCAAAGTACACTGACAAGCCAAAATGCACTAGTCAGGGTTTGTATTCTTTTTCTGCTACAGCAACATGTGTTATGATTTAAAGGGTAATCTTGATTTGTCTGGGATTTTCCTTTTGTATCTAATGGGTGGCCCAGCTAACCAACGTTCCACCTATTGGCACATTTTACTGTAAACATTCATAATGATAACTTCATTGAAATCAAGGCAAAAGGCCAAGCACAACCTAATAGTGCATCTACATTTGCTCATCCTTCACTGACAAGAAAATGGGTTGATATTTACATCACAAGGCTCATCTGCGATTTTGGGGTCTTAGGTTCTGGGTGCAGAGAAAAACTAGAAAGGGACACCAAGCTAGAAATATCTGCCACTCACTTGGACTTTGAAAAAAAAAATTCTAGATTTTGGAGTGGACAAGTTTTCAGCTTGCAATCATGTCATTTTATTTTCTACAGCTATGTAACTCAATCTGGAGTTTCAGTTTTGGAAACATTTCTCTTTCAGAAGTATAATTTCCCAATTGGAGAGTGATTTTCATTAGTCACCTCCAGTTCTGTATGTCAAGCTCAAGAGACCCCCTGAGCTGGCCCAACATTCACAAGATGATGGCTTTGCACTGTTATGAAGGCTGCCTCCTTCAATATGTCCTTTACTAAGTACCTAGTGATGGAGACGTGCAAATTCAAGCAAGACTTTGAATATTTGAAGTGGAATTGCAGTAGAATAGTTTTTAAGACACCAAGAATACAAATAAAATGAAGTAAAACAAAATAGATCAATTAATGCTGTCGCTTGAGACAGCGATTCAATGAAAGATGCTTTTTTAAGAGGTGTGGTATCGAGATCATAATGAAATTTTGCCTACTTATACAGCTCCATGTAATATTAAGGTGTGCCTAGTGACTTCCAGTGAAATGTTTTCACTTCTAAAGGGCCAGCAGACACTTCTTTTTCTAATAAATTCATATGTTGGTATCTGAGGTTTGCTGATCTTGAATTGCAGAGAGGACAGCAGATTTTATGACATTTCGTCAGAGTTCTCTTAGGCTGTTTGTCTCTCCCCACTGAATACTGTGTACTATTCCTCTCCAGGTTTATCATCCAGCCATTAAATGAAAAACAGGATGGGAAAAGAATTAATTGTCCAGAAATAACATTTTGGAATATTGGCAGAAAGAAAAAAAAAAAAGAGAGAGAGAGAGAACTGAGAGTCTATCCACAGATTTTGATACTTGAAGCAAGCATTTGCTTACCTCATAGTAAAATTCCATCAGTTGGATTCACATGAAATCTCTTTTCAATCAATCAGAGGGAGTAAGTTAATACAACTGATTGAATAAAAAGGCTTGATATCAGAAAACTCTACTGTTGCCTTTGTGAAACAGAGAAGTAACAACTTCCCAGCCTTAATTCCTTCATCTGCACAATGTACAAATTACCTCTTGGAACTCTCGTAAAAATTAAGGACCGATTACTCCGGTGTTTCACAAAATAAATTCCTACTCTAACTTCAGTGCAAGCCTCAATACCATTCAGAGTAGAAAAATCAGTGCCCAATCTGGGAGTTTTTAGAAAATATCTTGAAAATCAGAACAGCAATATAGTGCTACACATCACGATTACAGGATCCCAATTTTCTTTTAAGGGGAATGAACAGACAGACTGCCAAATGTTTGAAGAGACAGACGCCAAGGTATGGAGAGCTCTAATCCTGATCTTTTTTTTCCTTAGAACATCTCTGCATATATAGAGAGACCTTGACCTCCTCCTGCTGTACAAGCATAAACACATTTCACTTCAGGGGATGGGAAGTGTCAACCAAAATGAAGTACTGGCTACCCAGACACTAAAGAAAATGAAAAAGCTTTAGAAGTCTCCTGAAGCAGAACATGTCATCTCAGAGGGCATTAACTTACAAAAAAAGAACAATTTATAACTCTTAAAAATATATATATTCTTAATCCAATCTCCAGGAAAAAAAAAAAAAAAAAACAACAAAGAACAGTGACTCAGAAGTGGGGCTATCTCACAACATTTTCAGGCCTGTTGGAAATAGATGGAACATGGAGGGAAGGCAGTCAAAGCAGTCGAGGCGATGCTTCCAGTCAGCTTCACAAAACTTGCCCTGAAAGAGGAGCTTTGTTAGGTGCAAAACTCAGTCTTGCAGCTGTGCTGGCCCAGAGGAAAGGCCAAATCATACACGGTGTGGTGCAGAAGCCACTGATCTCAGTTGGAAAAACTCCTGCTGGTTTCAGTTGACTTTGGGTACAGCCCACTTCAGATAGCTCTAAGGTAACAGCATTTAACATGTGTGTTAAATAATGTAACAACATATCCTCAGCTTCTTCCAATATAAACAGGACATTCTGGTACTTTTTATATACATACATTAAAAGCTGAAATGGTCTGAAATACCTGGAGATTAGAATGCATATAGCTATACAACATCATGCCTGCCAGAAATCAAAGTAGAAAAGCTTTACAGCACATTATACAGGTCTCTCTAATTTCTAAAAAGCATTTACTGAGATTACCATATTACAAGAAGTCATCACTAACATATCATATAATACTATTTCTTTTTCTTTTACATAATCATTACTTATATAGTAATTTTTAAAAAATCACTTTTAAACAAGTATACAATTTTCACTTTAAAATTAACTGGTTAATAAAATTTTGTGCAAAACAAGCCAGCTTCTATAATTAAGTGAATTTATTTATTTTTATACAAAAAGAAGAAAAAAAAAAAAAAAAAGAGTTCTTTCAGAAATGTGTCTCCTTTTCCGTAATGGCTGAAATGGTGCCATCTCCTTTCAGTTTGGCATCGCAGTCATTTATTGCTGCAATGTAGGATCTTCCTCCAAGTTTCCCTCTCATCTTCAGATCCAAGCTAGGTGTAATCAACTTCCTGAATTTCTAGAGAATGCAAGAAAATGGAAATCATTATCTTTATCTTGCTCAAAGCATTTCTCTAACAGATTGACTTTAAAGCTGTCTTTTCTTGGAAGTCTCACTTCTCGTGACCCTGTCCATCCATAAGACTGCATTGCAATTCTTTCATATCACACCAGACCAAAGGATAGAGAAGGAAGGTGAAGACAAAGTAAAAGAGAATTTTCATGCTAATTTAAAGTTACAGTCTCCTTCATGAGTAAATTCAGCACAATGCTCTGGCTATAGCCTGTTTCATAGAATCATAGGGGTTGAAAGGGACCTATAGAGATCATCAGTATAAGAAGGTACTAGTGGGATACCTACTTTTATTGTGTATTATCTAAGGAACTGTATATAGAATCATAAAATTGTTCAGGTTGGAAAAGACCCTCAATCATCAAGTCCAACCTCGACCTAACCATACTACCCTAACACCCACCACAAAGTCACATCCCTGAGCACCACATCCAGATTGTTTTTAAACACATCCAGGGATTGTGACTCAACCACCTCCCTGGGGAGCCTATTCCAGTGCTTAACAACCCTTCTGTAAAGTTTTTCCTGATATCCAACCTAAACTTCTCCTGGCGCAACTTGAAGCCATTTCCCCTTGTCCTCTCACCGAGGTGACAGAGCCATCTTCTTCTGGAATATGAGAAATCCCAAATAGCTGAAAAAGATTTATGTTCTTGTTTCTTTGACCATAGGCATCTTCACTATCTTTTGAGAAATTTTCTTAAATTTTGTATAATCTTAGTCTAGACCTGAGATAGTCGGATACCAAATCTTAGTAAATTGTACTTTATTTTTGTCTCTATTTCTCACTTAGAGAACTGTAATTGGGGAAAGTGTCCAGCAAACCTATGTGAGTGTTTGCTACCCAGCTCCTGGACGAAAATCCTAGGGACACAAACATCAATTATCAAAATCATGGAAAGAAGACTGACTTGAATGAAAGGCTGGTATAAACCTTCTTGATTTAGCTAATGTTACAGACATTTTAAACTTCAAATACAGCAGGAAAAGGAACAGAGCAGATTAGAGTACTGGTTAGCTACCACAGGCTCAAGCCAGTGAAGGCAGAAAAGCAGTGTGGAAATTCCAATGAAAACAGAGAGAATACAGATGCTTCTTTCCACCAAAGACAGAACCAGGCTGCAAGAGTCAAATACCACTGGAATACATATACGGAGCCTACCTGAAACAAAGACATTGATTTTCTGATGAAACTGTGCAAAGTCTTATGGAAGCGAGACTTCCATTCCAACTTCTTTGTCAGTATCACAAATCTGAAAATCTCACCTCTATGAAAGTGCCTTCTGCCTTCCAGAACTTAATGCAGATCCACAAAGGGATACAAATCATGGAAGAGAGAGCCATCAGCCACCCTATGCCATAGCCCCAGTCAGGATATGTATATACATTGTTATACTTCAAAGGCTTGTATTTCACCAGGAAAAAAATGAAGATCCCCTGAAATAAGCAGAGAAAAGTGTTAGCAGTATTTGAATGAGCACTGCCTGTCTAAAAAGAAAATGATTGAGTGTTTAGGCAAGGCCAATCTCCCTAAAGGTAGGAATCAGAGCTTTACAGTCAGAAGAAAAAAAAAAACAACAAAAACCAACAAAGCGATATATTCTTCTATGTACATCTGAAATAATGTGTCTCAGATCCTTTCACTGAAATTAACAACCTTTCAAGTTTTAATCCTATTTACCACTCAGTGACAATAAAACCTGCATTTTGATGGCAAACAGTACCTGGGCAGGAAAGATTAAGTTTTGCTACCATGAACCAGCTGTGATTAGATGACACTCTCCCACCTGTCATGATGAAAAATGAAAGCCACAGCTGTCAAAGTTGCCTTAATCTGCTGTCATAACTGCAGTTCTGCAGGCCAAATCTTTCATCCTCTCAGAAGCTCTAATATATTTGTATAAATTAAACCGGTGTATAATTAAGCAGTTTAGACTTTCTAAGTTTACATAATTCAGAAAGTTGCCATGTGTTTACTCCAAAGTCACAACAAGAGTGTACAAGAACAAGTGACATTTTCTTCATTTCTGAGCTGGAGAAAAATAGCCAGGAATTTTCACGACCTTGCAAATGGTTGAGCTCACGGGAGCCTGGATGTTCAGGTGTTGTGATGTCTGTGCTTCTTCACCTTGCTATCACTTAGTTATGGAAAACTGAAAAATTTTAGTATCTAATATTCAAACTCTTGTGGATCACATTTATGGGCAATTTGGTCATGAATTTTTTGTAATTCTGTCTCTTTTATGTAGCAGAGTGCTGTACTTTCAGCTTCTTCCTTGCCCTTCTTCATGCATATGAATTGTATCTTTTGTTTATTCTACTATCTAAGCTAGAAGGAAAAATGTGCAGACTTCTTTGGAATATGTCTAGTCACCCAAAGAGGGGGGAGGAAACAGGAGGCTGGAGTGACAGGAAAACCTATACAAGTCTGGGGAAGTTTGAGTTATGCTTGGTAGGTACAGAGTTTATTAAGCAATTAAGCACTGAAGGAAAATCTCTCCTATATTGGCAAACATTCACTTAGGCCTCTGAGTTTATCTTTTTCTATTACTATATATACAAAGATTTCTAACAATTCACAGAACACATACATTTAACAATTTTTAAGGATTCTACAGAGTTTTTGCATTAAAACATACACTGCAAATCAATAGGTATACTGTTGAACTATTAACAGCAGTAGACTTCTAAAATTACACACAAAATATCCCATGTATCTAAAACAAGTTGCTCAGATATTCTATACTTACTGCACAAATACCTGGAGTTAAGACCATCCAGCACCACTTAATCAATGACAGGGGTTTATACCCAATCATATCCTCAATGTTATCATAAAAGCGATTGCTGCCTGCCCGAAAAAGCAAAGCAAAAGAAGATGTAGAATGTGCATGCACAAGGTTACAGAGGTCAGCATTTAAAACTGAACAGACAAAAATAGGGGTTCTGTCAAAGCTACAGAAATTGAGGCTGCTATCTCTTTGTCTCGCATGTACAACTGTCTTTTGCTCCATACTTCTGGCAGGGATTGCTGCCTACATACATGTCTGACAAATATCAACAGAGAGTAGTGGTAGGCAAGCTGTCAGACAAGAATGACTTCTGTCAGTAACAGTTTGAGTAGGCCAAGCTGAAAAGTACATATCCTACAAGCTCATGCATGAATCCCTAATTAGCCAAGGGCACACGTGATCTGAAATTCATATACGCTTTACAGAGTAAAATTCTGAGTCTTTTGTATGCAAAGAAATGCTTGAGGAACTGCCATGAACATACCTAGAATGATTTTCTTCTGACTTTGCTGACTGAAACAGCAGAGTTAGGAACACTACTATGTGCATTTTGTGTTAATAAGGCACAAATTGCAAGTGGATTTTTCTGTGAGTGTCAGATGTAGAAGGGAACATGGCCTGCACAGACATTTTGTGAGAGAAGGACTCACTGCTATCCCTAATTCCTAAGGCAGCTAGCGGAAGGTGAAGGTCAGTCCCAGCAAAGGGCAAGAAAAAAATCCAGGAGAAAGCATACCCTTAGCTTTTAGTAGGGCATGGGAATGTAAAGGGCCCTGCTTCACAAGCGTACATGGCCTATGTGTTTGTTTTCCTTCTGGAAACAGAAAACTTCATAAATACTCAAAATCGCAGCAATTTTTCAGTGACTCACCATAAACCCAGCCTATGCAGACACATTCAAATATGGCAACAAAAAGAAGGCACATGCCACTAGCTGCATAGGAGTCGAATAACTGAAAGACGTACATTCCACCCTGGAAGACAGATACAGAAAGAGGACAAAACAAACAAACAAACAAACAAACAAACAAACAAATGTCATGTTGGCAATGGTAGGAATAATTCATAACAAATATGTATTTAATTACACAACCAGTCTGTTGGTTATCTGGCAATCTTCCTATCAAAGTTGGTTCCTTTCTGAAAAAAGAATATTCATTTTTCACTGATTTTTGTGAATGACCTTTTGTTTCACAGCACTTCAGATTATTCCCTATGCCAGCTGAATACTGCACATTTGCTTTAAGGTAGTAAATAGTGTACCAAAGAGAACTATGTTGCACTTGTTTCTGAAATGACATCCCACCTCCATACCTTTTTTCTTCAATTTCACTTGTTATCACATAAAAGCTGTAGATAAATGCAGGAGATTTTGATTTCTAGATCAGAGCAGAAATGGGTTTTTATTTGTTTTTGTGTCTGTACCACTAATACATAAAAAAGTTAAAATGCTGGGAAAGAAGGCAAAATCTACTGCTACTAGAATCTCCAGTGGCAGAGACTGCAAAACAAGTAATTTGAATATAACTCAGACTTTCGGCTGCATTAATTACACGAGTCTATATTAAGTGATAAAGCATGAAATAATAAACATCCTGACTCCAAGCAAGCTTAATGTTTTTTCCGAACAATTAAAAAATTGCTTTTTCAAATTATTTTAAAATAGCAATCTTAGCATTTCCAAAAATCAGAGCAGTCAAAACCAAGCAGCATCTTAAGTGAGCACAGAATCCGTACACAGTGTGTGCTTTGTTGTCAATGGTCCTATAATTTTCTGCATTATGTAGTACCACAGTACAAATTAACATGAAAAAAGGTATATATGCTCAACCAAGATATGTTTGTCCTGGCTTTATCAGTATTCCTTATCACTACATTGTGCAGCAGGCTGTTGGGTGCTGGAACACAGGGCACTGTGGAGCTGTACTTCGTAGGTCCTATGATTCAAGCAGTCGCAGCTACTCCTGTGTGACAGTCTTCCACTTCCTTATTATTTGAATACGACTCAATTATTTAAATTATCACATATTTCAGAGACACCATTATTTTCTTCATTTCCCATATTTTTTCTCATTTTTAACCAGAGGTGTTAAGAGAACTGGCTGGCTTTCTAGAGTCTTTGCCTCCAGGCAAGACGAGAAGAAAAACTATAAAGTCAAATTAATAACATTATGGAAAACCTGACTAATATTATGTGAACAATATTATACCAATCTACATGCAAGATACTTAATCTCTTATCCCATATGCATTCAACACTGAAATAATAATGAGATTCACAGACCATCAATTGAAATAAATCTTATTTCAGCCCACTGCCTCATTTAACACCAACAGTCACCATCTTCTCTTTGTCCAGTACGAGCCCTTTACTTCTGAATGAAATTAATAAACTTTCTTGTGATGAGTTTTCAGCTCCTTCACACTGAGGTCTATGTAACTTCTGTTCAAGTGCAGTGTCAGGTCTCTTGAGAAAGACATCTGAGTAGTCTGGTACAAAATGTCACTTCAACAAGAAAGAAAAAAAGAAAGCAACAACAAATTTCATTTTGTCCTAGTCTCCACTTTTCTCCCATGGAATGGATGAAATTTGTTCTTTTTCAGCAGCAAAGCAAATTGAACAGTATATGGTGCAAGGACCACAGATCTCTGCGGAAGGAATGTAAGTGACACCAGATGAGTTCATGAAGCCCTCAGAAGCTGCTTCTCTGCAAAACCCTGCCTGATACTACTGGACAAGAGACACATCGTGGCCTTTCACAGTTATGACAGCCAGGATTCTTCAGACACATTGCCACACTCTGGCATTTAGCTCCACAGCTCATCAGACTTGCAACACCTGTTTGCTTCTCTCCCTGGTGCAAGGAGGGTCTGATGGCTGAGCAGGTGGAAAAACATGAGCAAAGGAGAGTGTGGACTCTGCCTGTATTTTCAGAGTCATTCGCTAGAAGTAGCACTGAGCAGCAGGACTAAAATCCTACCAAGCAGCAAAGATCCCACAGTTCCCTCCTAGTCTGAGCACCATACAGAGTAATGCAGATACGTGTCATAAATTGATGGGATAGACTAACACCCTTAGAGATTCTGGTTCAAAGCAGTCCAAAGCAAACATTTTGATTTGTTTGAAAAAAAAAATTCTTCTTTTTTTTTTTTTAATCAAATCAATTTCTGGTCAGAAATGGACTTTACTGGTGGACTTGGCCTGATGATATAAAAATCAATCACATTTTAAGCTTTTTTTCACTTCATGATCTTTACTAGATTTTTTCATCTAACATTTTATTGCCTTCAGATTGGTCTGCCCAGAGTAAGTCAGCTGAAACCATCGTCAGTATATCCTGCTGGCTGGTGCAAAGCAGATGGAATTTCCTTAGCTATATAAATTCAGCTAAGATATTTCCTAAACTCAAAAAACTGAGTTTAGGAATAAAACTGAGGACACGTTTCAAATGTTATAAATTAATTGATAACAGTCTCTCAAGGATTTTGTAGTCATATTTCTGACAGTGCACTCTGTCTATGGCAAACATTCGCGTGCTTTATCTGTCACTCTTATAAGACACACATTTCCTTTAGTCTGTAGGTGTTGAACAAAGAATATCTTACCTCAGTTAACATTATTAGACCAATGAAATACGACACAATGGAAAGGCCAAGAATCAACAGTTCTCTTCTGTAGCCCCTTCGGAAAATCTTTGGATACATATCTACAACAGCTGTCACAAGGCTTTCAACACACACGAACTAGAACAAATGAAAAGAAAATACAAATAAAATACGTATCTCATCTACTCTTGGGATTCAGATTTGCTACAAAACACTTCAAATAGCCTTCTGTGCTTCCATCATTGAGAAAGACTGAATGATCCCTGAGGACACTATAAACAGAAGCTCAAACTGAGAGGAACATCATTTCAGAATTAAAAAGCCTATAGCTATGGATTTCCAGTCTACCACCAAATTCAAATATTTGAAGCCACTAATATTATCTCGGAATTTATTTGCCCTGTAGCAGCTGGATTACATAAAACTTAAATCTTTCAAACATTGCTTGAATGAGGCTTAAATGATGTGTGACTTTTGTAGGACTGCACCAGAATTTCATTCTAAGGAAACTGTTTCTCAAAGGTGAAGCTCTTTCCATTTTACAGAAGAGAGACATTCTATAAAGCTATTAAGTGCCCAAGATATCTAATGAGGGAGAGGAAAAACATTCCTGCTACCTTTAAAAATCACCAGAAAATTAGAGACCTGAGTGCCTGGCTCACAGCTCTGGAGCAAGATTTTCAAAAGAGCCACCAAAATGAATGCCCAAATATAGACTACATAAATCTGTACTGAGGCTGAAGCAATGTCTTTGTTAAATAATAACAGAACCTCCATTGTCACATAAATGAGATTCAAATTAATAAACTTGAATCAATGGTTTTAGGCAAGGAAATAAGTCAAGAATTCATTCTTCCATGAGGATAAATGCTGTTTAAATCAAGGATGATGACACACACATACAAGGAACTCCAACAAAGTATTTGAAGTGTTTTTATTTCATACCTGACTATCTAGTCCAAGGAAGATGAGCATCATGAAGAACAGAGTTGCCCACAGAGGAGAAAGAGGCATCATGGTAACAGCTTTAGGATAAGCAATGAATGCTAGTCCTGGTCCTGAAACAAAAGAAAACAAAGTAAACAGTTTTATACTTGTGTACTGGGTCTGGCTGGGAGTAATGTGTTTTGGGTTGTGGCTAGAATGAACTAGCTAACATCAATATTTTGGCTATTGCTGAACAGTGCATCAAGGCTTTCTTTTTTCCCCACTCTATCTGCCCCTAGTACGTAGGCTAAGGGTGGGCAAGAGGCTGAGAAAAGTCAGAGCTGGACAGCCAATCCAAACTGGCCAAAGAGATATTCCATTTGATATACTGTCATACAGCAATAAAAGCTGAGGTTGATGAAGAACTTCTCTTCCAAGGAGGCCACTGCTTAGACTGGCTGCAGTGTTCTCGTGGGAGATAGTGAGTCATTGTCTATGCATTAGTTGCTGTTATTTTGTTCGTTTGTTGTTTTATTCTGCCATCTTTCCTACAGTTATTAAACTGTTTTTATCTTGAACTACAACTTTTCTTACTTCTTCTCTTCCTACTTTCTCCCTTATTTGCACAGGGATAGGTGAATGAGTGACTGTCAGTGAGGGTGCTTAGCTGCTGGCTGTGTTCAACTCACCACAAACTGATTGTACTTTCATGGCAGACAAAAAGAGCTAAATACAGGATTGAAAAAGTTAAGAAATTCTACATCTCTATAGACGTCTAACTACTTGGTGATGAGGCTAATTGGTAATGAGGACTTGCTTAGTAGATCAACTCTGAAGAACATGTCAAAATATTTGAAGTTTGAGACTTCTACTAAGAAATCACTGTGTCATATTCTCCTACTTCTTTGTGTGGATGTGCAGCAAGACCCAAATACCTGAATAAATAGCAGTGTGTGGTCCTGAGATTGCCATATCTAACTTATTAATATATTCTGAAATCTTTATCTTTCCTTTCTGTGACACCATTGCATCTAACATACTGTGCAAGAATGCAGTTAATGGAAACTGCATCTTGGAATCCATGTATGATGCAAGCCAAATGCCTACTGGATTGTTCCAAATCTGCTCTGTATTTCTGAATTTTGCTGCCAAAACATAACATTCATCCATAAACTATATATTTACACAAATATTTAAAATAGAACATTTTTTGCAATAGCAAAAATACAACAACATTGGTAGCTTCTTAAAACTGCTGAATTACCATTTCTCCTAGCCTATACTTCTGTTCTTGTTCACCTGTGCTCACTTTTCAGATGCTGCTAACTCCTGTGCTGTAGCAGCTTTTCTTAAAGTTAGCCAGTTTTTACAGCAAGGGCACAAAGGTATTATAAGAAGGATGATAAAAGCTGTGTTCCTGCTGCAATAACTTTAGTGAAGACCTTCCAACACATTACTGCTTTTCCATTTAAGCCAATATTTACAAGCTCTTATAATTTCTAATGTTGCTGTAGTCTTTTAATCTTTTTTATATAATTTTAGGATCAGTATAAGCCAGTTATCTTGAGAGCTTAAGGGAAATATAAATATTTTTCATGACAGTATTAGTAGAGCTCTATTTGCTTTGTAGTTTTTCTTCTAAATTTGAAAAATTTCCTGAGAGTCATTTCTTTTTCTCCTTCTTCCTGCTTTTCTTTCTGTTCTTTATTTCTTTTCTGTTGGATTTAAAGTCATGCTAAAAGATTTTACATCCACAATGACAATAAAGAACTATTAACTTTCATTATGTTTCTAAGTCCAGTGATGGTAATGTAAGTTGGACAGTTAATTTTTTGTAAACATGGGCCTTTTTGTCCTTCTGGACTTAAAGTAAGTACTTTTAAACTTAATCCATCTGAGTGTCTCAATGTATGTGCTTGAGAGAAAAAGGTACTGACATTAGGAGATGGTGTGAGCAGTCTAGACATCAAAAATACGTGGTTGGATATTATGTCTTAAGAAAGAGTTGAGATGACTTCCAAAATTTTTTCCAAAAAGCTGCAAAGCTCTTTTCTCAAATAGGTAAGAACTCTTCATATAGAATTATTCTAACATATTCTAACAGGTAACAGGTCTTTAATTTGATTTTTTTTCAAAATATCTGCAAAACAGTTAACTTATCCACAAGATGTGACACAGACTAGCTATTCTGAAAACACTGGGTATTTTTTCTGTAATCAAAAAACTGCTTTTGGAACTTACCTGATTCTGCAACTTCTGCAATGGGAACACCTTGTTCATAAGCCATAAATCCAAGCACTGAAAAGATAGCAAAACCAGCAACAAAGCTTGTGCCACTGTTCAAGCAGCAGAGCATGATGCAGTCTCTGAAAATATAAATAAGAAATACTGCAGTTGCCAGAGCCTGGGTTTCTTTCATAGAATGAGCCATAAGATTAACAGTACCCCAAGCTGCAGGAATGGGTGTTAAGCTCTGAATGTGATTCCCCATGATATTATGCTTAAGAGAAACCAGTCAGGCATAAGCATTTACAGGAAGATGTCTTTATAATACCCTGACTTGTGTTTTAACTGTCTCAATTGCAAGTCTGTTGCTACTCGCTCATTGCTTTTCAACAGAATGTTTTACAAACTAGTCAAATAAAATCCTGAAAAATTGGAAACATGGTATTAATAACGTTTTGTAATAGTTACTGTTGTAATAACGTGCTGCAGAGGTTATAAATTAATATATAAACTACACAACAATGTTAATAATTTGTTCCCTGGAAAAAAAAATCCTATGGTCAGACTTCAGCTAATTCTATTCTAGTTACAGTATCCTGGCAATACTATCTATACAAAATACAACTCCAGTTTGTTTTAGAAACTTCTTTCAGAAGCCATGGAAATGAAAAACAGCGCACACAGTCTAAGGACTTTGTATGTGCCTAATAAGTAAACAAAGAGAGAATGGACAGAGATGGTGTCTCTCAGATTTATCTAAACAACATAAGACAATTAAAATCCTACAATGATAATTACAAGTCCAAAATGAATAAATATTTCTTTACCTAGACTGGAAATTTCATGATTAAACAGCACTTCGGGCTGGACAAATGATGAAACTGGAATGATTTATTATAACATACACTTTTTTAAGATGGTTTGCTACAAGAAACAGCTGTGTATTTGGGAAAGTAATAAGCTAACTTAGACATCTGAAAATGAATTAGGATCCTAAATCACTGAAATCACTGAAACACAACCCAAACATATAGCTCTACAAAGCCTATACCTTAGCCTGGTTAATTCACTTACAGCTACAGCTCTGAAGCAAGTTTTCACGCAAGTTATTTATGAGAAGAAATGACCCTGAAAAATCTAAACAGGCTCTGCATCTACATCTTCCCATCTTTGTCACAGATTTGTAATGACTTCTTGAGAATCAAAGGCATATTTCTTATTTGTCTATTCCTACCACAGTTCTATCTGGCAAAACATCTTTCGTAATCTTCCTGTACTATTGCTTATTTAACTAGCTATTTTTAACCTGTGTTGGTTTTTTGCTTGTTTGTTTTCTTTTGTTTCTGTTTTGTTTTGATTTTTTGTTTCTGTTTGTTTTCTGTGCTGGGAAGAAAAAGGGAGAGGGAATCTGGATTCACTGATTAACAAGCCACTGAATTTTTGAAAGCAAGTGCCCAGGCCCAACAACCACTGGAAGGAAAAGAAAGTTTATCTAATTTTCCATTAATTCTTTATAAGTATCCTTGGTAGAAAGGCATCAGAGTCAGACTGAATTCCTAAAGGATTTCAAATGATGGGAAACAGTCAAATTTTTATGAAAACTTTACATTCTTCCAAATGAATGTCTTGACAATCACCTGAATAATTCAGGGACTCCACCCTCTATCTTCACCTTGCCTGACAGCCTGGATATTGCTAGAAATTCATTGTACCTTCCTTAAGGATCTTCTCTATGAGAGAAGAGTCTGTAGAGCTTTTTGCATCCCTGCAGTCACTTCCTTGTCTATACAGACTCTCTAAAGGTACATTCACGTTCCTCTTTTAATCTTAGAATGGAAGCTTGATCAAGAACACTTTCTTTTTCTTTCAAATTTCATCAGTTTGTTAACAGCAGCTGAAATGCTCACTTTTCATCTGTACCACAGCAAGCAGCAAGGAAGCCAACTCCTGAATAGTAAAAGGGCTAACATGCAAAAATGATGTAGCTGAGGTACAGTCCCCAGTACCACGGTGGGGAACTGCCCTGTGTCCAGCACGGAGCTGGATCAATTCTATAAATACAGAGCACATGAAGCAGGAACAAGAACATTTTTCTCTTCTGTCTACAGAGTCTGAAGATAAACCTTTCCTTAGGGATTTCTTAGCTTACTAAAAAATTACAGGAAACTTCTATACACTTTTTTTTTTTAAGTATGTGGAAAGCACTGCCAGCTGATTTTACTGCCACTGTTTTTGTCTGCTCAGAATAATCACTGTTAGATATGAACTGTTGTAAATCCACAGAGGATCTGGCCTCAGGTAATTGTCTCACTGTCTTAAAGCATTTAAATGACAGATTAATAAAGACAATAGAAGTTCATGTCCAGCTCAGAAATGTGTGTTAACTTGGTTGCAATTAATTCACAATATTAGTGATGTGGATCAAGTTGCTAGTAAGAAAACTCCTTTTCCCACTAAAATATGTAACATCATTATTTTCCACTGCAGTGTACCCTTGTTCTCCAGTACAACTGAGTCCAGAATAGCAGCAGTTTGTTACAATCAGACAAGAAACTGTACGTACTGCAAGAGGCAAAACCATGGCCTGATTTTAATTTTTTAAGTGGTAGTCAGGATATAAGTTTAATTCTGATTTCTTTTATTGAGAAAAGGCAGCATTTTTCTGTCTTTGTATGTCTTCATCTGTTAACATCCTAGTTTCTCTCAGCTCTTTCTGCAGTTAACTTCTGTCCTACCCATTTCTTCAGTTTTCTGAAGAATCTTACTTTATGATGCCATCAAATCGGTCCTATTGAGGAACTTTGTGAAAACATTTTGTTAACTGAATTGCAAAGCTTGAATTTATTAAAAACTATTCTCTTGCAGCACCATTCTCAGGAGCTTTAAGAATGAGTGGCTGCCAATCTTTTTCACCAACCGATGCTGTTAGAGGAAATAAAATTACATAAGCTCTCTGGTCACACATCAAAAATCCTGATTTTTGTAGTAAGTTACAAAACAATCACAAAAACATCATTGCAGTCCTTGAGGCAGTGAAAAAGTAGTTCCTAGAAAGGATGCAAAGAAATTAAATAACTGAGAGAAAGAGCACTCTTAGTTAAAGCATCTCTTATGCTTGTAAAAAGAAAAAGAGAGAGAAAACCCTTATTGCCTACTGCTCTTAGGAGCATTTGTTGCTCTCTTTTGAGGCATCTCTATCGTTGTTCTGAAAGCAATGTCCATCAACACTGTCTGAACTGTTTGGGACTTACACTATTTAATGCAGCAAAATTTCTACCAATTTGGCACTCATAGCCATGCAAAACAATAACTTCTGCTGACAAGTTACTTGTGTGTTTAGATAGCAGAGTACTCTAAATTGCTTTTGGAGAGTTTGCATTCAGCTGGTGGATACATTTGTGTGGCTGTGGTTTCCAGATCTCTTTCTCTGCTGGGTCCTACTATTCTGTGTTTCTCTGACAGAAGCACAAATTGCTGTTAAGAATGCATTTTCCGAAACTGGCTTCTAAATTCTTCAAGTAAAGCTACAATTTAGAATTTAAATAATTTCACAATGGGATTTGTTCTCCCACAGTTTTCTTTTTTTTTTTTTTTTTCTTTTGATTTAGAACTGTTTTATTGTTTATTTCCTTTATTTAAAAATGTAATTTTAGTTCTCTGTCTGGAGATGTGCAAGGTCCTGCACCTGGGTAGGGGCAATCCCAAGCACAAATACAGACTGGGTGGAAAATGGCTTGAGAGCAGCCCTGAGAAGGATTTGGGGCTGTCAGTTGATAACAGACTTAACACAGGCAGGCAATGTGCTCTTGCAGTCCAGAAGGCCAGCTGTATCCTGAGTTGCATCAAGAGAAACGTGACCAGCAGGTCGAGGAAGGTGATTCTGCCCCTCTGCTCTGTTCTTGTGATTCCCCACCTGGAGTACTACGTCCAGTTCTGGGTCCCCAGCACAAGAAAGACATGGAGCTCTTGGAGCAGGTGCAGAAGAGATCATCACAAAGATAATCACAGAGTTGAAACACCTCTTTTATGAGGACAGGATGAGAGAGCTGGTGCTCTTCAGCCTGGAGAAAAGAAGGTTCTGGGGGGGGAGACCTTATAGCAACCTTCCAGTACCTGAAGGGAGGTTGTGGTGACGTGGGGGTCAGCCTCTGCTCCCATGTAGCTTGAGGGAATGGCCCCAAGTTGAGGCAGAGAAGATTCAGGTTGGATGTTAGGAAATACTTCTCCAAGAGAGTGGCCAAGTGCTAGAACAGATTACCCAGGGAAGTGGTAGAGTTACAGTCCCTGGAGGTGTTCAAGAAGTATTTAGATGTTGTACTGAGGGACGTGGTTTAATGGGTAATATTGGTAAAATGTGAATGGTCTGGATGATCTTAGAGGTCTTTTCCAACTTTGGTGATTCTATGAGAAGATTAAAACCTACTGAAAGTCATTATCAATTTCCTTACTGATATCTATACAGACTAGCAATAACATGCTATGTATGTGCTCTACTTTGAAGTCAGTAAACTATGGTAAAATTGATGTGTGGAATAGACCAAACTGTTTTAATAGCAGTTCTTCATGGAATTTTTTTTAGAGCAGATAAACATTATACAATCAAATATGGCACACAAGCATCTATGAAATTTTGTGTATTGTACACACAACTGAGCATGTGTGTACTGAGTGACGTGTGGCTGTGGAGGGGTCAGAGGTGATCAGAGAATGAAAAAACAACAAAAACTGGAAAATAGTTCTGAAAAAAGTTATAAGTTACACGTCTCTGGTTCTGCAAAAAATGAGTTCAATCACTCATGTGGGTGGTTGAAAGAAAAGAGAAATACTTCAGAGTTTAGCACTGTGAATACTTCTATCACTGGAAATAAATGTAAATCATAGAATTTATTATTACCTGTAGCAGTTATTATTATAGTTGTTGTAACTTCCCAGGGCTGTCAGGCACCCAAGGCATATCGCATAAGAGAAAAATATCTGTGTACCAGCATCCACCCAAACCTAAAGACAAAAAGTAGAGTGGTTAGAAGAGGTCAGGAAGGAATCATAGTTACATCTACACTGACTGCAAATTTGCAGAGAAAACTATGCAGAGAAATTGCATCTGGCAAAACTTTTCTAAGTTGCAACCTGAAAAATGATATATGTTGTGAGTTAAACTCCTCACTCCTTCCTAAAGGTATAAACAAGAAATAACTCATGTGGTCTTTACACATTCAAACTAACCTTAAGTAGAAAAAGACACAGAATTTCTAGGAAAAAAATCCGAGTGAGTGAAAATCTTTAATGGTTTTATTAACACTGTAAGATATAATTTTAAGCTAAATAAATCAGCTATATTTATCTCATTCTCAACTGATTTTTTAAATTAAAATTTAATAATTTAGCATGAAGAAAATAAAGACAAAATATGAGATTTATATGTACTACACAAATAGATGAACTGGGGAAAGAGAAGACAGTTTATTTAGGGAAAGGTGATAGGTCGCTGTGCAGTTGAAGAATAGAAGTCCTGTAGAGCTAATCAAATAAATAAATTCATACTATCAGTGATAACATTTATATCCTAAACTGATCAAAAATTGCACTGTAAATGAGAAAAAGAGAAAAGAGCACAAACTGACACAGTACAATTATTGTCCTCACAGCAACCATGGAAGATTAACTTTTTTTTTTTTTTTAAGTTTTAAAAATTAAACAAATCATTTCATTAATTATTCCACTTAATTTTGGGTGGAATATTACTGGAAATGATTATATGCTTTTAACTTCTGGTTCGGCCAAGAGAGTGATGTGAAGGATCCACACCTGCATAGCTGCACTACTACTTCCATTCCAGTAAGTTCTTACTCCTGACTCCTGAGACAAATGAGCTCTTTTAAGACTTTCTTTTTTGGGGTTTTATTTTCTTCTTTTTTTAGAGCAGAGCAAGCAACACGCTTTTCAGAGAAGTAAGAAAACACTGCCTGGCTGATAACCAGAGGCAATAGCTACGTAGCCATTAACGACTTCGAGTTTGAGACAGGAAGGAGATGAAATTCTACTCAGGTACTGACTTCATGACTGTACTAATAATAGTAAACAAGTCCTCATAAATATACAAAGGGGATGTACTTGTTTTGCATCTGATCAAATGAGTCCTTGGTTTCTGGAGTTGCTGAGGGTGTTTCTGTTTAGGAATAACATTAAGATCAGATTTGATTTGCATCAATGGCTTAAATGGTTTCATTGCTGTCATACTGAATAAGATACAGCTGATTACATCTCAAAGTTTCACCAGTTGGTAAGGGAAAAACTGCACAGAGAAAGCCTTTTGACAGACAGGCTCTTTAACAAGATTGGAAGCTCCCAAAAAGCTGCAAGTAGCATAGGTCAACTGAAAATGCACGGTCCTCTTAAGCATAAACAAAAGCTAGGAAACTGGATCAGCAGATGTAGAATCTGCTGTTTCCTTCCGTTTCAGTCTTTGCACAATGCATTGTTGCAGGGCATTGTACAGCACTTAGATGAGCATTAGCCTTTCCTGTTGGCATACGCCAGCTCCCGAAGTCTGATTATTCCTGGGACAGCAAGTCCTGGTGGAAATGGGGTCAAAGAGGAATTGTACTCTGAAGTGAGAAACTCCAGAGCTGCTTGAGAACAGGAGCACAGGGCACATCCTTCTAGAGGTCCTGTAGTTAGTAAGAAAATAAGAGATAAAAATCTGGCCTTAAGTGGTATCTTTTCCTCTAATGGAAACAAGTCTCCTCTAAAGACAGTGACATCTGACTGTGAATCAATATCAAAACAGAGGGAAATACTTTAAATATTCTGTAATCAAGCATTTGCATATTTAAAGTTGAATCAGATTGAAAAGCCCTTTGTATTTGCTGCACTCTAAGATTTCAAAGTAAAAATTCCTCCAGAAATTGTGGCTAATGTTTAAAAAGGCAGGAGGAAGTAATTTCATTTGCTGCAAAGAATAATAGAATCAGCATAGCTTTCTTTGCGTTACAGAGAACCAATGAGATTTGATTTGCGATTACCTAATATTTCAATTTCAGGTTTCTGAAATGGCAAAAACATCTACAGTTGATCAAGGAAGCAGCAAACTGGGAAATGAAATCAGGAATCACAGGTAGGATTTTGGTAGCTGGAAAAATATGAGATGGTCAACTTTCCTATCTTGTCACAAGCCTAACGATGTTAACATTTTAAAAGTAAGCAGCTGATATTATTATTTTCTTACCCCCAAAACCTGTGACCATTTGACAAATTTGGCATTAAATGGCAATGTTCATTAGCACTTGTAGGTTTTGTTGACACACAAATTATTTGTTCATCTTAGTTGCACCCAGACTTAGTCATTCATAAACTATACCTCAAGGAAACTTATTCTCATGAAAATTTCTACGGGGTACAGATGGCCTCTTGTAGATACCACTCAAACCCAGGCACCATCCATCTGGCTTACAGCAACAAAAGCATTATTAATTATTTCTGAGAGCGCTGAACTGCTGTAGTGCATTAGCTGGGTAATTTTGTAATGTCTGGCTTAGACTAAAAGTTGTAACGTTTTCCAAGTATGTGGAATGAATGTAGCAGGATTCTGCAGAAAAATGAAATTCTGAAGGACAGAGACAAAAGAAAACACTGCCAGTGAGCTGCAAAGCAAAGATTTTGGAGCCGGCAGCTGGCAAAAAGCTGGGACAAAAGGAGCATGCTTTTTCTGAGATGTGACTGGGCTCAATGTGTTTCTGGCATGAGCAAATTCCAGAGGAAAGAACCTGTACTAGGGAACATCCTGTTCATGCTTTATAAACTACTTACCTTGAAAGTCCTTTAGTCAGTGATACTTAAATCAATTCAATAGTATGCATTCATACATTTGGGGTCTGAAAATATTTCACTTCCACTAAGTCCTATTTGAAAAGAAGTAACTGTTTCTTCTTATTTTTCCTCACCTCATATTTTTAAATTTCCAGGCAAAAACAATATTAAAGTACAAGAAACTTCATTTATTATAACTTAAAATTTTAAAAGAAAAACTAATGCCAAAGGGTCGACCTTCAATCCCTGCGTGCTCACAGTTTGCCTCTAGGCTACAGCTGTTGTCCTGACATGCCAGGCCCAGCACCAGCTTAGCAACAGCATGGGCAAACCAGAAGAATGCAAACAGAGCACTGCTCTTCTTCTGATTCCTGTGCAGAAATAATTCTTGCTGCTTGCTGGTAAGGTCAATGAGCCTATGTGATGAAGCTTTTGTCCCAAAGGGAGAAAAGACTGTAGAGAAGCTTCTTCAGCTCTATGCCACTACCTGCTTTGTCTAGGTAGAAATGAGAAAATGCAAATTCTCTTCATGTTTTATTTTCTAAGTGGGAAGGAGAACAGCAGAGCTGTTTGTGCCCTGCTCTCTGTTTTGAGGCTTTCTCATGCTTTATTCTACAGCAATCTCAGCTGTGTCCTGCTGATTGCCAAATTAAATGGGTACAACACATATCCACAAAACAATAAAAAAGAATGTTGGTTTGTTTACTAATATGGAGAATTATGTTTCACAAAGTCCACCCCACAAAAGCCAGCAATACCCACAAATGCACATGACTATGTAACCTTAATTCAGTCTTCCTGTGTGTAGGGCTAGGATTCAATCTTAACTTATATGACAACAGTACTACTCCAGACTCTGCTCTGTAGCACATATAATGAATGAAAAAGGAAAAATTAGTGTGTGTAGCGTAGTGAAGACAATACTGAATACTGATCCAGAGGATTAGCTTTGTTTCATGTTGCTGCTATAAAGTTTTCATGTGATGTTATATCCACAAATCGCTCAGACCAACACTTTCACAAATGTCCTGTCATGTTTCCTATTTTGGAAGAAGGAAACCTCAAAGATCAACATTCACATGTGCAGCAGTCATACACCCGCTCTCAGGAGGGAGCCCTTGCAACCCTATTCCTTGTCATTTCCACGTATCAAATCATCAGGAAAACACTGTTTATCAAATGCTTTCCTGCTCTCAAAGCAAAGCAAACAGTACCACAAAGCTATTGTGGAATCCTCCCATGACTTCAGGAAACATGGTCCCAGGGAAAGCTGACCTTAAATAGCACTTCCACACAACCATCACAACAACCAACTGAATGTATTCAAAAGGTGCAAATATCTAGGAAAAATGGGAAAATCAAGTAATTATTTTCAGTCTGATCCTCCTAAGAGGTACGTCATTTTAAAAATAGTATATGGTCACCTGAAAAACTTGATTTTGTATCACAGCTAGGAAGACATCCGAGAAATTTCACTATTCTATCTTGCTGTGTATAGCTCTTCATTTGCATGTTAGTCTACAGAAAAATGTAAGACACCTTATTAGGTACACTGAGGATATTCTGAGCAGAAGTGGAGAGCTTTGTTAAAATTTGAGAGTCAGAAATTAAGTTAAATTTCACAGATTTCTCAGTGGTATAAAATCACCATAATATTTTCACTGTCAGGAGGCACTTTGGATAGTTTTAAAAGTAATGGCTGATCTAAAAGAACTGCAATGTTTATGCACAATCCACTTATCCACATGTAACTGGAGAAATGGTCAAGCACGATGAGTACTCCATTAAATAGAACGTGCTTATCTTTCTTTCCATGATTTCTCCTGTAATGAACAGTTAACAGCTCTATTAGAAAATGAAAAACACGTAATGGCTGCTAATATTTGTATACATTCTTAAGTTGCTTACTTATTTCTAACAAAATCAAGGGAATTCATAAATATGCACTTTTTTTCATTCTTAACAGTGTGACTGAATGCTCACTTCAGCTGCAAAACTCAAAGCATTCTTAACTACAGAGTGGTTAATGACAATTCCATAACAAAGCACTCCATCTGAGAATGTATGAGATCTCATAGGAGAGTTAAATGATGCACACACTCTCTAAAACATGATATTCCAAATGTCAATAGTCATTTACTTCCCATTTTGTTGTCAGAGAATGAGCAATCACTTCATAGTTCTCTTTTAAT